GGACTGCGTATTCCGATGCGCTTTCGATCGATCGAGGCGGTGTTGTTTGTTGATGCGTGGCGCGGCGTGCCGGCAACATTGCACGTGTAGCCACGAGTCGCGAGTCGCAGTGGTGAGTCTCGAGTCTGCCTGCACTCGTGACTCGTGCCTCCTCTCTCCCATCCCCCCCCCTTGTCACCATACAATCTAGTCGATTGCCACCGCAGCACATACCCTAAGCGCGGCGCACCCCTTTCACGGCACGGACGCCCATCGCTAGCATGGCTGCCTGCTTCGCCGTCCGGCCACACACATAGCATACACACACGCACACAGCATACGCACACGCACACACAGCACACGCACACAGCATACGCACACGCACACGCACACGCACACGCACACAGCATACGCACACAAATGCTTCTGACTGGAGCATTGCGCATGCACAGCCACGATGCCGCCAGCGCTGGTAGCAGTCCCCAACGTTCACCACAAGGAAGCGTTTCCGGCGCAGACATGATCCCAGTCATGGCAAGCTCGGCTGCAAACGGTGGTTCACTTGGCGGCGGCGGCGGAGGCATTTTAGCCAGCGCCAACGAGCAGCAGCAGGAGCAGCAGGAGCAGCAGGAGCAGCAGGAGCAGCAGGAGCGCCACGAGCACCACCAGGCGCACAATCACCACGCGCGGCCAGCTCCAGCAGTGTTGCCCAAGACGTGGTCAGCGGAGAGCATCACATCGCCCGCCGTTCAGCTTCCCACATTTGATCTCAACGAGCCTCGACACTATGCCAGACGGCCCTCACTGCCAGCTCATCACAGTAATGGACACTTTCCATCGGGTCCAGCATCGGCCGTCGCAATGCGTGAAAAGGAGCATCAGCAGACCTCACAGTACGGCTTGACGGCATCAAGCGCGAGAGCGCATACAAGCCAGCCAAAGCGACGCAGGCTGAGCCAGCCCGTCAGCTCATCGCTACAGAAGCGTCGTTCCATCAGCAGAATTCGCAGCGGCTCTGTGCTGGAGGATGACGGCGAGCGAGAACAGCTATCCACCAGCGAGGGAGAGGCGTTGGGCGATGCATTGGGACGGCACAGACCGCCGCCTCGATCCCCCTCCTTTTACTCTTCCACTGCCTATGCGGCCGGGTCATCTGGTCGCAATGGGCGAGGCGAGTCTGGCAGCACCAGCAGCTCGGATGCTTCGAGCAGCGATAGGCACGTCTTTGACTGGGACGCCAAGCGCGCCGCGGTGCGAGAGAGGACGCGTGAGAGACAGAGGATGAGTTTCGACGAGAGGCAGAGCAGCGCGAGGGCCAGGAGATTGAACCTCACTCTGCCGTCCCGCTACGCTCCTGGCGAGGGTGAGGTTGCGATGGCATCGCCAGGAGCAGGTGGAGCAGCAGCAGCAGCGCTGCGCAGAGGCTCTTCCGTCTCTCGAAGAGTCCCCTCTCCTGCGCTGAAAGGAGAGGAGACGGTCACCGGGCTCGCATCCGTCATCTCGCGCGGTCGGGACGCGACGCCACCATACGGCACGCCTGCATCTGCCGATGCAGCAAATGCAGCGAGCAGCAGCACTGCGAGGAGACAGGCTGCGCGACCAAAGAGGAGGTTGAGTGTGAATCCCGTCATTGAGACTGCACTCATTGTGGGCGCTGGAGCGGCCATGTGTCATGAACTAGGTACGACTGGCATTCCTAGGGTGCAGTCGCACGTCACGGGTGAGTCCATGAGCGTGGAAGCTGCACCCTCATCGCTTGTCCTGCGATCGCTCGTGCTGACCATGATCCCGCACCCTCGAAGAATTGGCGTGGATCTGCTCCTCTACGCTGCTGTACTTGGCAATGCGAGGCGCGGGTGCGTGCGGGTTCATTTGGTCTACCGATCATCGCAATTACAGGTGGGTTAAGAATGCCGTAGCTGCGGCGCAGCGGGCGCAGTCGTCTGACCCTACGCGAGATTTCCGCCATGATGCAGACAATGCGGAGATGACGGAGCGCTAAGTGGCTTGCTGATGGGACCTCTACTGGCCGCGGCCGCACTACTTGCAGCTATACGGGAGACTGCAGGGCTGGCCAATGCTCCTAATGGAAGCCCATTGCCGTACCCGAATTGGCAAATCGAAGGACCTCTGTCTCTTGTGCAGCATGCTCGCCCAACACCAGACTCGCTCCATCAGCTGGTCCTTTCGCGGTGTTCCTTGGTCAGCCTGCAAACCTTGACATCCACGATTCTGCTGCTGCACTTGCTAGGAACGAGGTGGATCAGACGTCCGGCAGATTTTCCGCAAAGCAATTGGAGACGGCTGGGGTCGTTTGTGGTGTTTGAAATCCTTGTCACGGGCTTTGTCGAGCTCGTGCGGGAGTTGGCCGCGCGGAGCGGCATCTCATTCTGGACGGGTGAGTGGGTGCGGGTGATTAAAAAACAAAAACAAAAAGAAAAAAAGAAAACGTGACGCGACGCGGTTGACGCCGCACCTCCTACGCTCTACAGACTTGGCGCGCTGGGAAGTGTTCACCGCGGCTTTATTCTATCAGAGCAATCTGTACTGCATATCGCGACTTGCTCGTAAAAGCTTTACGCTGGGCGAGCTCTCCATCGTAGCGGCTATAGGCGTGACGCTCGTCATGGAGACGCTGGCTTTGACCGTGGCCAAGGTGCGCGGCGTGGCGCTGTGGGTTCAGCGCGGGCGAAGCTGACACGTGCCCTTGCTCTCTCTCTCGCCCCAGGTCATGCCTTTTGCCACACCCTTCGTCAAGGCCTTTCGCAGCCCAACACCGCTTGTGGTCTTTCAGTCTGCACTCGTGGTAGGCTCCTTTATGATTGGCTTCTTGCTCTCGCCACTGCTCTACCTCTCGCGGCATTTGGCGCAAAAGCCAGTGCATCGACTGCGATGGCCGCACAAGCGAGACCTACACCGGCGCTTGCTAGCGGGCTTTTTCTACCTCTTTGCCGCGCTGTACATTGTCGGCGTGCTCGGTCTGTGGACGCGTTGGATTCTGGGACGAAGAGATCCTTGGGTATGGGTGCTGCACTTTCTCATCAAGGGCAAGCATCCGTGGTCACGACCTTTGCTCGTTGCGTACTGGCTCGCGCTCGTGGCAGCAAGCGTCTTGAGCTGGCAGGCCATCGTAGTCAGCGCCAAGCGGTTCAGGGTCGTGAGGAATCCGACCGTGACGAGCGTGACTGCGACTGCCGCGACCGCGACCGCGACCGCGAGTGGCAGCTTGCATGAGAATGCAGCCTCTGCGGCGCACAACGCAGACGTGCCAATAGCACCTTCATCCGCGAATACACGAGCTACCGCGGCCGGGGTGGTCAGAAGCTTGGGAGGCCTCGGAGCCATCGGCAATGCAGCTGCAAACACCGAGACTGGCGGCGTGACGCTCAAAAGGGCCGCTACGCTGAGCTTGAACGCGCGCAGAAAGTTCTTTCACGCACTTGCAGTCATGCTTTTTGTGCCAGGCATCGCAGCCGATGTGAGTTCGCGCGAGAGCGATAGCCAACTTTCATTTGCACGAACTGACACGCACCCACCCACACGCGCACGCGCGCACGCACGCACCCACCCACACGCGCACGCGCGCACGCACGCACGCACGCACGCACGCACGCACGCACACGCTCTCGCACAGCCCGCTTTCATGCACTTGGCCTTCTCGCTGGCGTTTTCTGCATTCATCTTTGCAGAGTACATTCGCTACTATGCACTCTACCCATTCGGCGCCACCTTGCACGTCTTTTTGGCAGAGTTTACAGACCACAAGGACAGCGGGCCGGTGATACTCAGTCACTTTTACCTCCTCACTGGATGTGCCGGGCCGCTCTGGATCGAAGGTTCGTCGCAGATTACGCAACAAATAGGCGTTCTCGTTCTCGGCGTCGGAGATGCTCTAGCTAGCATCGTGGGTCGACGGTATGGGCGCGTGTACTGGCCCGGAAGCAGCAAAACGGTCGAAGGGTCGGTCGCTTTCGTTGGCAGCATCCTTTGCAGTACCCTCCTCCTCCGCATGCTGGGTTGGGTGCAACCGTTCAGCGTAAGTGTGCGCGCGCGCGCGCAAACGAACGAGCGCGCGCTTTCGCAAATCCTGTACGAAACGCTCACGCTCACGCTCACGCTCACGCTCACGCTCACGCTCACGCCCACGCCCACGCCCACGCCCACGCCCACGCAGATTCCTCGACTCGGCGTCGTCTTGGCTCTCCTCGGTGCGCTGGAAGGCACCAGCTCGCAAAACGACAATCTCATTTTGCCCGTGTATGGATTCGTCACTCTTACGCTGCTCAACGTATGATGCACGCGCGTGCGTGCTCAAATGCTAGATGTACATGCGCGATGCGCGATGAGAGAGCGAGGCTGTCGTTTTTGTCAGGCCGAGTGAGTGGCCTGGCGCTCGCTCTCGTATGCCGAGTGAGTCGCCATTTCTACGTGGCGCTCGCTCGGCGCCCACGGCAACGAATCTCCCCAGCGGTCGCTGGTCAGACCTGCCGAGCCAGGGTTGGGCAGGCCGGCCTCCAATTGCTTCTGATAGCTGACTTGTCGAAGGCGGTGAGTTTCGGCTGGCGTCAAGTTCAGGTAAATTTCAACACCAACGAGGTGCAAAAAGATGGCAAGCCACATGGCGGTGCCAAAGGAGACGCCCAGTGCAGCACCTTGCTGCTCGCCTTGCCCGCTGCCGCTCATGTTCGCCGGAACGATGACGCTGGAGGTCGCATTCCGGCACGCGGGATACGCCGTCTCCAAGGCTGTGTCCGCGCGCTGTCCCCTCCCCAGACGAAGAGGAGCTGCTAACCCCAAGAGTCTGAGTGTAGCCGCCGATGATGGACACGATGGATGCCGCGCTGATCATGATGATGCGCGCGTAGTGATGATTGTGCATAGCAAAAACATGGCGCGAAGCATCCTGCTGAAAAAAGCCGGCCGGCGAATATGGTAGACTGCTGGCGCTCCGTCGCGGTGAGAATGGCAAGCAGTCCCACGGCGGATTGAACATCCAGCCCGCCGCCAAATGAAATCATGAGAGCGCCGACATTGGCGATGCAGACCAGTAGGATGATGAGGTAGCCGTTGAGCCGGTGGAACAAGATCGCTTTTCGGCGAATGACGGGGACAAATTGAAATGCCATCATAAGACCACTGGGCAAAGAGCCTGCCAGATGCAACGTGGCCGTGCACCCGTGTGATGGTGGTACCATTTGCCAGGTGAAGCGCCATTCTTGAAGCTGGACGAAGCGTCGCCTGCCATATTCAAGTACGACAGGCGAGCGAGGACAAAGCCGACCATGGCGCCAGCAAAGATGACGAACAGCGGAAAGTTGTAACCACGCTGAAAACCTAATGTGGTGTATGTCCTCGTCCACCACGTCGCGCGAGCCAAGCCTTTGGGCGCACCGACATGCGACGACATGGTGAGCGCGAGTCGACGACGAGATGCTTTGTCGTTGCGCAACCTGACGCGAGTCGACGACGAGACGCTGTCTCTTTTGCGCACCCTGCGTGGAACGCGAGTCGACGACGAGACGCTGTCTTGCACCTTTATGGCATCCTCTCCTAGTCAACTTGACCCTAAAGATCGTCATTCCCGAGCGCTGCCAGCCGCGCGGCACGCCATGACGTCTGAAAGAGGCATTGCGATTGGGCTCACATCGCTCTTGGCTGCATCGAAGCTGTACCGGTGAAACTTATGCTTGGTAAGCTGTTATCCATTCTTTCACGCCTCGACCTGCACCGCGCGCCCCTCGATCCGCTTGGCGCGTCCATTCCGTCGGCTTTGCGGGTCGCGTCTCCTACGACGAAGCCTCGCTTGTTAGGGTTAGAGCAGTAGTACATGGGGTTAGGGTTAAGCGGCCGCGCGCCCTAGCTTCGACGAGGCCTTGCTCGTTAGGTTAGAGCAGTACGGTTAGGGTTAGGGTTAGGCCGCCGCGAAGCGGCTTTCTTTTTCTTTTTTTTTCTTTTTTTTTTCTTTTTTTCTTCCCGAGTCTAAAGGCACCCGTGTCGCGATGGTCGCCCTTGTCACCATTCGCGATCGGAATCGCAGTCACGTCACTACTTGGATCAGCGAATGGGCACATTTTACGAGGAGCGCAAGACGCGGACGCGCGCGCGCGCCTCACACGCCACGTAGGCCCTTGTGCATGACATTTGCGATACAAGTACAACAGCGGGGCAAGCTATGTACATGCAAAAGAAAGTCCAGCGGGAGGCGTTCACGCAACGAGACTTGAGGATTGTGGCGACGGAAACAAAGCCAAAGGCGAGCGAGGCGGCGAGGGAAAGGTGGCCGGGCGACGAGGTTGGGAATCGAGCGACGGAACGGTGTCCAGACGAGCGACGCAAAACGGTGACCGGGCGAGCGACGAAAAACGGTGACCACGCGACGGGGCTTGAGAATCGAGCGACGAGCGACGTGAGTATTGCGACTCCTTTCTCGTCTCGAAAGAGCGACGTGAGTATTGCGACTCCTTTCTCCATGATCGGTACCCTCGCGACGCAAACGAGACCGGTCGTCAAGCACGACGGCCGGCTTGTTGCAGCACCATGCTGTCGTCCAAGAATGACTGGTCGTTATCGTCATCAAGGCACACACGCAAATGCATGTGACCGCGTATCTCCACCTTGCGAACATCCGACAGCTGCCAGTATCCGACCGTCTCGCTTTGGTGAATTGCCTTGAGAATCTGCAGCTGCTCGTCTGGCGAGCGCGACGACTCTATCACCTCGTTCAGATATGCACCTCTCAACTCCATGCTCCTGGTCTGCATGATCGCAGACGGAACATGGTCGAGCGTCGGCCATGCGTTGCGACACTCTAGATATGCGCTGGCCAGCTCATCCTCGTCGCTACCCTTTAATCCGAGCATGTAGGCCAAGCGCACGTGCGATGGATTTGCAGGAGGGAGCCTGGCACGCAGCTGCATCTGTGCCATGAGCGAGGCCTCTGATGCGTGAGCATGCGCTGCGGCCAAATTGTTGCGCTCGAGGGTGCTGCTCTGGAGTGCAGTCTCTGCTGCTTCCATCCTTGTGGCCAACGTCGAGAGCTGGTCGTGCGTTTTCTTTACAAACTCGTCCGTCTTGCTAGTGTATTGCTGCAGCAGGTTGCCCAGCAGGCTGCCCAGCTGAGCTCCGCTTCCTTGAGCAGCAGTGTGGGCAGCATCGCGCTCAGCAGTCACCGTAGCAAGGTCGCGCTGGGTGTCGGCGAGAGTGCGCTGGGTGTCGGCGAGCTGGCGCTGGGTATCGACAAGCTGGGTATTCGCATCGACAAGCTGGGTACTCGCATCGACGAGCTGGCGATTCGCATCGGCAAGCTCTTCTGCAGCTCCTCGCTTCACTCGCGCATTCTCCTGCAGCTTGTTGGCAAAGTCCAAGCGCTGCTGCTTTGCCCGCTCCTCAGACTCTTGAAGCTTCACCGTCACCCCATGCAACTTTGCTTCCACATGCCGTTGACGCTCATCCGCAGCAATGGCCTCGCGGCGCGCCTCCTTGATTGACTTTTCAGCATTGAAGGTCACCTTTGCAAGTTGGTCTCTTGCCGCCTCATGAGGTGATGGGGTCAGAGGAGCACTGGTTGATTGTGAGTCACGCGCCCCGACGTGCGAGGCACCATTCGCTGACTGTACACGCGCGCGCGCGCTGCTTTACGTCCGCAGGTACGACGCCGTCTGAGCGAGGAGGCGGATGAGCACCCTGCCATCTGGAGCATCTTGGCCCCCTCCCTTTTTGACGAACGCAGTCCAGCAAGAAGGCAGCTGCTGGAATCTGCTTGTCCAGCACCACCTGCATGCTGGATGACGAGCGAGACTCATGCTGCTCTTGCGGCATCAGCATTTGGTCGCATCATTGTGATTGTGGCGGTTCTGGATACGGGAACGCATGCATCCATGCTGCACCCACTTCACTGTGGCTTGGCAGGGTTTCATGCCGAGCCAATACTCCTGATCTACCACCTGCGCCACTACATTGCCGGGAAGATGAGCATGGCAAGCGCTTTTCGCATCCCAATCAGCAATCTGATCACTGGCTCGCAAGTTGCTCTAGATCAAATCGACAGTCAGCAGATGCACCTAGCGAGGCTACATCTAAAGTTGTTGCGCGAGAAGCATGCATGAGAGGAGCGTGAGTGCGTGTGTGCGGTGCTGATCCGCGTGCCGTCTTGTTGACGCTGATCCGCGTGCCGTCTTGTTGACGCTGATCCGCGTGCCGTCTTGTTGACGCTGATCCGCGTGCTTTCTCGGCGATGCTCGCGCAACTGCGAAGTTTCACGACCCGATGCGATGCTCGCGCGACTGCGATGCGATGTTCCACGACCTCGATGCTCGCGCGATGCGATGCCCGCGCAACCTCGACCTTGTTCACTATGCGATGCTTTCACAAATGGGATGCTTGTCACGACTGCGACGTCAACATAGCGCCTGCGACTTTTGATCACAAAGCGACGCTTTCTACACGCAATCTGCGCCTACACTCGCAAAGCCGTTTGCTGCTCGTTACACCTGCGCTCTCTTTGTTAGCCCTGCCTTGCTCTCGCTCACGCTTCCGCCTTGGTTTCCGCTCTCGCCGCGCCTCGCCTCGCCGCGCCGTCACTTTCGCCTTTGTTTTCGCTCTTGGTCTCGCCTCTCTCTCGCTCTCGCCTCTCTCTCGCTCTCGCCGCAAACTTTCCTCGTATCACCATTGCGATCCTCGTTCACGTGTACATTGTAGCGTAGATGGCGTGCACCAAATGCGATGAAATGTCAAAACGCGCCACGCATGCGTGTATCACTTGTGAATGGGATGATACCCTCATCGGCACGCATCCAGAACAAAAGGCACGCATCCAGAACAAAAAAGATTTGGCCATCATACAATGACATTGCGGGTCGCAACGATACGACAACATTGCGGGTCACGACATCGCATCCCATCAAGAGAGCTGTCGTACCGCGCCTCCGTCTACGATGTTCAATGGCCGCCATCTAGGAAAGTCGTCTACCACGGGCAAGCGCGAATGTTCTTCGAGGATGGCACTTTGGGTGAAGCACACAATTGACATGCGCACACCTGCTTGCATTTTCCCATTACCATGCCGCAGCAAGGCAGATGGAAAGAGGGAGAGATCCTGAGGCTTGTTGTGGAATGTGATGCCGAGATCCGGCAACTTTAGAGGGGCACCGTCGAATGCGCCAACTGGCATCACCATGCACATGCCAAATTTGGCATCCTTCTTGTCGCGATGCACACCAAGCGCCGTGCGATCAGATGGCATGTTGACAGCAAGGGATGAAAAAGGCGCTACAAGAGCAGCACAACAACGGTTCATCTCTTTTGCCACTTGTCTGCTGGTGCCAGCAGCAAGACGATGAGGTGCAATGTTGAGGAGGAGGAGACGCACATTGTTGTACAGCTCAAACACGCGCGGACTAGCAAGGGCAAAGAGTGATGCCATGCGCTTGCGCGTTGACGTCATTTCCTTGCCGTAGATGAATGGCAAGAGGGTCTCTTTATTGTCCTTGATCTCGACATTGTAGTTGTCCTCCTTCATGGCCGCTGCGCTGGTACCTGGCGCACAAAGAAGCGCATGCATACAGCCAAATGATTGCCCACGGCTCCTCTCGATGGCCTTGGCGGGCAAATGGAGAGCGCGCGCCCATAGCATCCAATTGCGATATGATTCCTCGCAATGCGCTTCCCATGCTTTTAGTTTGCGCATCGCTTCATAGTGAGCACGCTCAGCTTTGGGACTGCGAGACTGCTTGAGACGTCTGCGAGTGGCTTTGTTGGCACGCTGTCGCTCGGCAAGGATATCGTCGACGTGCTGCGCTTGTTTGAGCAGGAAGGCCTTTTGTGTTGCTCGCTCTTCCGTCGACAATTGCCAGGGTTTTGCGTTTGCCGTCCAAGTTGCGGGGGTGTGAGGGGGCAAGTCGCGCGCCTCGCGAGTGCGAGATGACGAGGGAGGCGTCGAGTCGCTCGGCTTTGCATTGGTAGCGCGGGTGCGAGGTGGCGAGGTAGACGAACGCCAAGTGCGAGACGGTGACGGTGAAGAGCACGCATCGTCCGACTTTGCTTTGTTTGCGCGAGACAACGGTGAAGGGCGCGTGTCGTCCGACTTTGCATTGCTCGGGCGGCGAGGTCTTGTGCCGCACGGCCTTGCATTGGTTGCGCCCGCATCGTTGCAATGGGGCAGCTCATCTGCTGGAGTCGTGGGGTGGCGCTGCAAAAGTGGTTCGCTCCACTGCTGGCTGTACAAGTGAATGCCATTGCGATCCATCAAAAAGTCGTACTCTGGTTGATTGCGTCCGCCGTTGAAGTGCAACCGCCCATCTGCCTTCTGTGGTGCGGCAAGGGGGGTAAGTCTCACGAGGCGCGCGCAGTCGTTCGATCGCACACCTGCTCACCTTCCACGTATCCGTCTTGAGCTGCATCCCTCGCGCTCGACGTGCCTGCTTTACCTGCATCTCGAGGCTTGCAGGGCCATCATCATCATCATTGAGCGCCGCATCGGCTGCATCGAGCAGGCTGAATGCATGGCAGACGGTGACGCGGACGTTGATGGATGTTTGAGACGGAGCAAGGCTGTGCTGTGGAGGTAGCCCTACGGTAGCCTTGAACTGCTCAAACTGGATTGGCAGTGGTGATGGGCGCTGTTGAATCTTTTCTGGAAAGTGAACGCGATGCCAGACGACGTGGGGGGATTGAATGGCGGCAGCAATGTTGTTGCTGCGCTCAAGCAAACGTTCAAAAGTGAGGTGTTCGCGCTGTGCTACCGACAAGCTGGCCAGATTATCGATGTGACCAACGAGCTGAATGTGCAGGCTTCTGGTCTGCGTGCTGAGTAGAGCCTCGAGACGATGGTGACTGCGAGTGCGCAAGCCGGAGCGAGCCTTCATGGCAACTTAGTTAGTTAGGGTTAGGGTTACAAGGGGGTTCCCAATAGGGTTTTTGGAGTTTGTGTTATGAGCACCTAGAGAAGGCTGAGGGAAGCCAGCTGGTGAAGCGGCGCTCAAAACCCTACAGGTTTGACGGCGTGAGGTCCATCTAACCTCAAGATGGCATGGTTAGAGTGCCTAACTTGCTTGTCTTTGAGAGAAGTGCTTCTTGTCTGTTACAGTGACTTACATGAAGCTGTGGCATGAGACTTTCTGGAATTGGATTGCACAAAAGTCTTTCAGGGAGGGCACAAAGTGCGTCTAAGTTCAGCTTGGTACCTTAAGTTCAGTCATCTTCAGCATACTTGACACAAGTTGAGCATCAAGTTGGGGCAAGATGATCTGATGTTGGCTCATGTTTCCTGAACTTGACACAACTTCTGGTGGGCACTGAGGGGGCAAAGGGGGGACCCTTTGGATTGGGGACAGATGCCAAAAAGTGTGCTTAGGGGTGCATCTTCAGGGAAGTTCAGCTCCAGAAGGAGGAAGATGAACCAAGATGAGGGAAGATGACCTGATACTGGCTCATGTTGCCTCAACTTGGCACAACTTTTGAGGGGTACTGAGGAGCAAAGGGGGGACCCTTTGGATTGGAGGCAGTTGGCAGAAGTGTGCCTGGTGGTGCATGTTTGGGGAAGTTGAGCTCCAGAAGGAGGAAGATGAACCAAGATGAACAAAGATGAACCAACATTGGCTCATATTGTCTGAACTTGGCACAAGTTCTGATGAGCATTAAGGGGGCAAAGGGGGGACTCTTTGGAATGAGGACAAATGGCAGGAAATGTGCCTGCTGGTGCATCTTCAAGGAACTTGAGTTCATCTTCAAGTTCAATCTGGGAAGTTGCAGCAAGTTGAAAGAACATGAGCAAACATGTGCTCATGTAATTTGAAGTTGAGGGAAGTTCTGAGGGGGTTTGAGGGAGGTCAAGGGGGACCCTTTGGAATGGAGACAAATAATGTGGAGCTTGCATGAGGGTGCATTTTCAGGGAAGATCAGCTCATCTTCAGCTCTGGCTGGGGGCAGTTTAGGAAGATGAGCAAACATTGGCTCAAGTAGTCTGAAGTTGAGGGAACTTCTGGTGGTCAATGGCAAGGCAAAAGGGGGACTCTTTGAAATGGTGGTAGGCTGGCAGGACTTGTGTCAGGTAGTGCATGTTCCAGGAAGCTGAGCTGATCTTCAGGCTGATGCTTGATGGTGCTGGAAGTTGAGTGAAGATGAGCTGTTGCACCACTATCACAGATGAAGTTCAGGGAACATGAGTGGTTGCTCTGATGTTTTGCATGAAGTTCATGGAAGATGAGGTGTTGCACTGCTATCTCACATGAAGTTCATGGAAGATGAGGTGTTGCACTGCTATCTCACATGAAGTTGAAAGAAGATGAGCTGCAGCAGTGATGTTTCATCTGAAGTTGAGGGAAGATGAGCTATTGCAGTGATATTTCATCTGAACTTAGGGTTAGGGTTAGGGTTAGGGTTACAAGGGTGTCTGAAATAGGGACAGATGAGGTCTTAGGCTTTCCTGAAAGCTCTAAGAAAGACCTTTCCAACAAGCCCAAGCATTCCCCAAACCCTACAAAATTGCCTTAGGAATCAGCATTTGAAGTTGCCAAAATTCTGCCACAGTCACGTGATGCAGCACTGCCCGGTGCTCTTTTGACGCGTCTAGCTGTGCACGTGATGCAGCACTGCGCGCGCATTCTGGACGCGCCTGACCACGCACGTGATTATGTGCGCTCTTTGCTCGTCTAGCTGTGCACGTGATGCGCTCGCTCTTTTGACGCGCCTAGCAGTACTTGTGATGCAGCACTGCACGCTCTTTGATGCGTCTTGATCCCGCACGCACGCACACAAGCACAGGTTTTGGCTGTGAGATCAAATTTGATCCCACACGCACGCACGCACACAAACATGCGGTTTTGACTTTGAGATCAAATTTGATCTTGGGCGCACGCAAGTAGACACGTGACCCTTATGCCTGCACGCATCCCCGCGCACGCACGCATGCCCAGATTTGGCTGTGAGATCAAATTTGATCACGCACGCACGCACCCACACACGCACGCACGCACGCACTCAAACTGCAAGCACAGGTTTTGGCTGTGAGATCAAATTTGATCCCGCACGCACACACAGGTTTTGGCTGTGAGATCAAATTTGATCCCGCACACACACGCACGCACGCACACACACACACACGGGTTTTGGCTGTGAGATCAAATTTGATCCTGCACGCACCCATGCACACACAGATTTTGGCTGTGAGATCAAATTTGATCCCGCACGGCTTTTGGCTGTGAGAACCCTGCGCCCGCCTGGTGTCCGGCTTCCAGTGCAGCACCTGGTGCCTGGCTGCAAGTGCGCATGCTTGAAGCTATGTTACATGTTTCATTGACACCACCACTCACTCACATTTGCGCTCTTCAATATGTTGCCACTTAACACCCGTTGGACAAAGCCTCAAGACCTTGATGGCTATAACATGACTCTGATGCCAGAAGCGCTCATTGATCCATTTGGCAGTGATGCATTGGTCACGCTGAGCAGCTATGCGCCAAACATACGCGATGCAAAGAAGTACAAAGACTGGGTTTATGTTGCATCACCGGTTCAATACTGCAAAATAGAGCTGGAGCTCAAGTTGCCGCTCTTGGACCATCTCTCTGGTAAATACGCTCTAGATGCATCAAAGCATGCCACAGCACTGATCAATGGAAAGCAGTCAATCCATCTTTCTCAGCTTGTTGAAGCGCTGGTCTGCATTGGATGCACTGCTGTGCGCGTCCAGGCATATGGCATGAAGAGCTCTCTCAAGTGCGTGGAAACCAAGTGGTTTGGAGATGCAGATCATGACCTTGCAGGAGACAACACTTGGGACTTGGGTGTCATGTACCGCACACGCACCATACCGCTGTTCAAGCCTGCAGCATCATGCGCAACTGGAATGCAGGTTGATCCGATGCTGCTTGCGCTTGGGCGCGGCTATGGCTCTGTTGACGCACAGCTGCAGTACGAGGAGCAGGACTACCGTGTCAAAGTTTATCCGCGCCTTGTGCATCGCCTCAAGGCCCTTGCAGGGAAGCACCCACGGTGGCCACCAAGCTCTGTGCGGATGAGCAAGGCTCAGCTTTCATCACTTGAGCGCAAGGCTTAGGGTTAGGGTTAGGGTTAGGGTTAGGGTTAGGGTTAGGGTTAGGGTTAGGGTTAGGGTTAGGG